ACGCTTACGCCACCCCCCCCTCACCCCCGCACGGACTAAACGCAAAAGTGATAAATGGTATCGTGATCCTGTACGGTATGGCACTCCTACAACCGCGCCTGTGCAGCACAAGAACCAAACTGCGGACGAAATAAAGATCTCGTATGAATGGAAAAGTATAGTAAATGAGGAAATAGAATAAAGGGGTAGGCAGGTAGATGAGGAGGAAGTTATCAGCCGTTAAAAACTTTTCTAGTACTCCAAAACGGTAGTAAAGGATTTTACGCAAAGCATTGGTGTACTGGCTAAAAAATGTACGCGGCATTAGAAGCCAGAGTAAGTGTGTCAGCAGTATGAGAATCAGGGGAAGCAGCACTGAAGAAAAACCCCCGAGAAACTCGTGTCGGGTGACTATTTGCAACGCATTCATCGGGACACAATAACGCGGAAAAGAACCCTCATGAAAGAGACATCAGTTAGAAGCTGCAACAGTCTGCAGAACACGACCGCAATGTTAATTCACGTCCTGTAATCAGGATAGATTTGGGAATGAGTGGAGGCACACCTAGGCATACGCTCACGCCGCACCAGCCGCCTATCTCCGACCCCGCCTTCGGTCTTCTTGAATCAACGCAAAGTTGTTCGATAAAGCAGAGTGCGGTAGATGCGGCGAAAGTCCACCATCACTATAAATTATTTGCGCGTAAGTCACTATCCCCGCATCCACGGGGTACATGGGGCACATCATCATCGAAATCTACCAGTTAAACCGTCGTGCCGTTTCGGTAGCCCAGATTCAAATCTGACACTATCCCGAAGTTGGAGTTATGGCAAGTGTGCTAGAAAGAGTCAGTCCAGTTTTCCTGTTCTCCGTTGGTTAGGCTTCGCAAACAGCTTTTCAGTGCAAACCCAGGACTATTTTTAATAACGGTTATGCTTTGGCAGGTAGCGTATTGGCTTCTCTCCCCGAGACAGCATCCTTCATAAACACGTGGTGGTAGATGTAAGCACGTACGTGACATAAAAGCCAGGGTAGGCCTGCCGCTATCTCCTAATTCGATAAGATAATGGTAAAATTGTGTAAATGGCTTAACACAGGGTCCAGCTTAAGCGTTGTGTACGTTGTGCGCAACGCAGTTTAAATACAGTTTTATTTCGAGGCGATATCACACTCACTGAGATCGATTCCTGACTGATAGACTTCCTACACGCCCCCACGGAAAATTCTAGAGGGATAAGCGCTCAAATCGGATATACGAGTGCTC